ATATATATATATATATATATATTCTGTATGAACGTAGTATAAGCATGTGTGCGTATGTGTGTATACATATCCACCCGACCAAATGCTCATGTTCTGCACATTATGGGGTAACAAGAGCTGAAGTACGGAGTTAAACGAAATCATTGTAGAAAGCATTACTTCTCTTCTCAGCCTTCACTCACGCAGTCTCAGCCCTAAACACCAGAACGTAATATTCGTTTCACCTCTGGCGAGCAACAGTTTAAAAACTCGACATCACCCCAGCGCTTCACTATGAGCATTAGATAGCTTCTAATAGTTTTCAGCTTTCTATAAGTAAATCTGCAGATCCTCAGTCTTCGATTGGTGCCCATGAATTCGCGTTTTGTGGCATAGCTGCGCTGTATAGCCAGCTGAATCTTCACACTGGAAATGCGTCTTTTGTACTTGCCATGTGGGGCTGTCCTTCTAATTTGGATGTAAAAAGCATATAAATTGTCTTGCGCGTTCCTATTACTCAAGAAAAAACCCTTGAAATTATCCGCTTCCGATGTTTTCATCATCTTCAAAAAATGCCGCCACCACCGGCTCAAACGAGACGAAGGGAAATTCGCCCTGTCTGCCGATTTCTCTCAACTCGCAGGCCCTCGCAGTAATTCAAAATTCACTACTTTATTTTCGTTTTTAGATTCACGGTTTTGTTTAAATCTCCGTCAGATCACCGGCGCCTGCGCTAGTAGCAAGGAGAACCCATCTGCACCATCGCCGGTCAGCAGGGGAAACTATAATTGATTAATTTGATTTACTTGCTTTAATTTGCCTACTGATTCTGCCGCAATTTTATGAAATTTACGTTTCAGCTTCAAGATGACCCGTGGTGCCCCGTGCGGATTGAACATCTGTTTCCTGAATTGCGAGACAGCGGATTTCGGAAGGAAAGCAAGCATGAAACCGGTGAAAATGCATTTAATGAGTGTTGTTATGCGTTGGTTGCCGTTGTTGCGTTTAGAAACAAACTTTAAACAACAACTTCTTGCTCCTTCAGGCACGATCAGAGCCACCTAAGAGCTTTATTCCCCGTGTGATGGCAGAAGCAACAATACTCCACGGCCCTCTAATTCGCACAGCAGCTGAGAATTTGAATTCCGCTCTGCAGAGGCCTCCAGGTTTGCTTGCATTTCTTTATGCATGTTCCTAGGTCGTTCATACTTCTCCTTCTTTCTTTATAGTAGGTAAACTGCAAGGTCTCAGCAGCAAAGACAGACTCGGGTTGTACTGCGTCTCCCCTGCTGCTTGCTGTGCAATTACCGACAGAACTGAAGGCTGTTTAAAGACTAATTCAACTCCATTCCTTCTAAAGTCGCCTGCTTATGCGCTACCTCTGCAAGATCGGCAGCAAGAGTCAGGGGAGGCAGCAGCAGAAGAGGGAGGATCCGCAGCAGATCCCAATGAAATCGATAGACGCGCCACAGGGGTGTACGCGCAGCTTACTGAGGGGCCTTCGCTCGCTGTGCAGAACAACAGCCAATTCTTTTCGCTAGCTGGAGACGCCGGCGAGGCCCGACAAGCGTTTGCTGCACCCTCCTCAACAGCGCTGCTGCACGGCAGAAACATCACAGAAAGCAACGCTGCTGCTACTGAAACCCAATCAGAACAGCAGCAGCAGCAGCAGCAGCAACAGCGGGCACATACTACTGTCAGTTGCGAGACGCTCAACAGCACTCCAACCAGACAGACGCTGGGCCACAGCAGTGTCGCATACACTGCAGTAACCCCAGTCAACTCAGGCTCCAACAACAACTGCAGCAGCAGCAGCAGCACAAACAGCAGCAGCAGCAAACCATTATCACCCTTGTCGCCGCAACCTGCAAATGAAATGCTGCGGCTGCTCCTCGCTGGCGTTCCCCCAGTTGCTGCTGAAGTGCAGCAGCGCAGCAGCCGCTCAAATACCACTGAAGAAGAGACTGCGCCTGGACAGCTTCAGCATTTCGCCTCAAAGGACTTCAAAGCAGGAGCAGAGGCAGAAGCAGCAGCAGCAGCAGCAGCAGAAACAGCAGCAGCAGCCACAGGTGAAAGCGTCACCTCGAGGGCCCCTCTTAGTCGATCTGGGAAGCGGCAAAGGACAGCTGAGCCGCTTTGCACGGAGGTGAAGATACACTGCAAGAAGAACAAGGGAATGAAGGAAAAGAGTTCGCATGCACTATCTGAAGAAGAAATAGACGAAAGGCTAAGCGCAGCCATCGCTAAACTTGTTGAGAATTCCCCTGAATTGAACGAAATTTTCTACTACGCAACAACCGATCCCAGCGCAATTGAAGTACCTCTTTAAAGAAGTAATTTCTCTTGTGTCTGCATGCAAATATACTTTCCCCTCAAATGTCGTTACTCCCCACCTCTTCGCATGCAAGCATGCTCAATTATTAAAAGCAAATACTAACGGCAGGCTCTCGTGGTGGCGGTTGCAGCTGCTGTTTCTGCTGTTTCTGCTTCTGCTGCTGCTGCGATTGCTGATGCTGCTGATGCTACTGCTTCTGAGCACACTTGCAAGCAAGTACGCTCAACTCTTAAAAGATGTACGCTTATTGCACATCTTTTAATCAAAAGGCCTTATTCAACATGCTGCATATTAGCACAGGGGAATGGATAATGATAGCATGAGGTGTATTTACACCTAGAGATACTGCAACCTTTCATTCGTACAAACACAAACAAATGCATGTCTGTTGTCGTCTTCCTCTCGCGATGCTGCTGCTACCTGCAGCAAAACTAAAAAAGAAGCGGGCGCAGACTCTGCTAAAAAATAGGCTGAATGTACACTAGAGTAGAAAGAACCAATGCAGAATCGGTATATATTGTTTATATACTTGTAATTATTGCAAATGTGATGGCAGCAGATAGCCTGAACTTCCATCTAGGAGAACAACGCTAAAGATATATATATATATATATATAGTGCCTCTGCGCATATATAGACAGAAATATGCATATATATATTTCTTTGGGTTCTATACTATGCATTCTAGGTACATCAGTGCTTGCGTGTAGCGGTAGTTGCGTAGCAGAGAGTTTGCCTAAATGTAGAAAGGGCGAAAAACAATTGAGTGAAGGAGTTCCTTTGGCGTATCCAAAGGAAAAGAAAAAGAAAGGGCGAACGAAGCGCAAGAAAAACAAGAAAGAAGGAAGATATTGCTTAAATGAAAAGCACTGCCACACAGACAACCAGTCGGCTTTGCTGGAGTTGTTGTAGTGATGCAGACCACTGGCAAAATAAAAACAAAACAAACGCAAAAGACCCCTATGCTGCGCATACACCTCAAGATAAATCCATCATACATATGTCCACTAAGATTACAATTGTTGTAATAATTGTTGTTGCAGACTCACGTGCATCCAAAAGAAGGGCAAGTAATTAGAATAAGCATAAAAAGCAGAAGAAGAACTAAAGAGGAGAAAAAGAAGAGAGGCAGTCCATACAGAGTCAGATGCATTCATAAAACGAAGAGAGCTACAGACACATGCATTAGCAAGAGCAAAAGCCCTCTTAATTCCGTCTTCAAAATTAAA